ACGTTTCCCCCCCCCTTTTGGGGGCTTTCTTTTTCCCCCTTTCTTCTTTTTTTTGCTTTTTCTTTTCCCTTTTTTACCTTCTCCCCCCTCTTCCCCCCTTTTTTGGTCTTTTTTTTTTGCCTCTTTTGCCTTTTCCTTTTTTTATCTTTTCTTTCGCCTTTTTTGGCCTTTTTTCTTTTCTCTTTTTTACTTTTTTTCCCCCTTTTACCTTTTCTGGCCTTTTTTTAACCTTTTTCCTTTTGTTTTTTAAACTTTTTTCCCTTTTTTAACCTTTTTTTTTTGCCCTTTCTCCCCCTCATCCAGGACAAAAGCATCTCCACAGCTGCCCCCACCCTGCCGCTGCCAAGGCTCCGACCAATTCATGGAGGGGGAGGAACAACAGAGCCATAAAACCCCCCGAGAAAGCGGGATGCCCCCAGCTGCGGAGCCTCACTGTGTGGCTGGAGCTGGGTGAGATCCCGCAGGATGGTCCGGAAGGACGGCCGCTCGACGGGAGTGTAGTTCAGGCACTGACAGATGAGGGTGGCCAGCTCCTTGCAGGACGGCTCGGGCAGGCGATGCCTTTTCTCGTAGAAACGTTCTTTCTAAGAGAGAGGAAAGAAAACCAGGTCTCAAACAGGGCTGGATCCATCCCAGACGGAGGAGTTGGAGATGGAGGGAGAGGAGAAGGCAAGTCACCTCCGAAGGCGTGCGCTCCTTGAGAGGGACGTCGGCGTCGAAGCAGATTTCCAGCAACGTGGTGCCAAAGCTCCATTTGTCGGCCGCCGTGCTGAGGTTTCCCACATCCCGGACGCATTCCGGGGCGATCCAGGGGATCCGATCCACGCGCTCTTTGGGAGAGGGAAGGCGAAGTGAGGCTTTGCTGGAAAGACCTCACGAAGACAGGGTGGGGGAAAAAGCTCCCCGCAGGATCCCAACCACCGGAGAGCGGCGGTGGGACTGACTCCGACAGCAGCTTCGAGGCCAAAACCAGCCACTGTCACAGAATTTGCATGCCCGCACGTTCAAAATATCGTATATCACAAAAATTAAGGTCTGAAAGGCAGGCAAAACCTTGCCAAAACAGCTCAGGCACGAGCCATGCTATTTATTAGCTACCTGGGCTGCAGGAGGGGAAAAAAAGCACCTGGATTTTCACCTCAGAACAAGCCCTGCTCAGTTCAAGCGCAGGATGACCAAATACCTTCTCGAGAGAGCACCGTAAAGCTGACTCCGGGGTCACTGAGCTTCACGAAAGGCACAGATCCATCTTCCAGCCCCTTCCTGGCCAGCAGGATGTTTTTCGCACACACGTTGCCGTGCACCAGGTTTTTGTCCTCCTGTGAAAATGAGGGGATACGAAATCTTGGAGAAACTCCCGCCCATGCCTCAGAACAAGGTCAAGTCTACAGACTACACCAGAAAATAAAAATACAGGACTCCTGGCTGTAATTACATGTGTCACCTCCCTGTCTCATTATCCTTTTGCACAAAGCCGAACCCGGGGGGAATAAAAGGAACACGAGGATTACCCAGCGCTGGGGTGCGTGCCCTCACAAGCTAGCGAGCTTTCCCAACGTGCTGGCAAGAAGCCCAGGGAGAGGGGAAGGCGGCGTTCTCAGCTGGGGCTCTACCCAGCTCGCGCGGCCCCAAAATGAAGCTACAGAGCCGGGATCCAGCGTTTGAAGTTCACCTGTGCTACCCCAGCAGCTCACCTCCAGGAAAGAGGGAGCGAGGATGGGTCTTGTGAGGTGCAAGCAGGGCACGTTATGCTAAAAATCTGCTTGGAGGGTAGAGGAAAAGGCGGCGGATCCTTCCTGCCACGCTGCCGGCAAGACCCAGGGGTGCAGCTGGAGCAAAAGGTGCTCGGAGGTGATCTCCGGCACGATTCCCTGCTGGGAAACCCCCAGCTCCCAGCCCCATTACCAGGTAGCTCAAGGCACTGGCCAACTGCTTGGCCACGGTGATTTTCCAGCCCACGGTGACCCGGCCTTTCTCTTTCCGCAGCAGCACGTCCAGAGGTCCGTGTTCCACAAACTCCTCCACCATAATATCTGGGGAAGACAGAGATATTATCCTCGGCACGGCACAGGAGCCGATCGGCCCGGCGACGGAGCTGGCAGCGGCCGAGGGAAAGGCACCGACACAAAGCAAGGAGGGTGCGGGGAGGGTGGGGGAGAGCCCCGTACTTACTCTCGGAGCCTCGCACGCAGACTCCGTGCACGAAAGCCAAGTGGACGTGCGACACTTGGCTCATCAGGCTGGCTGTCTCAAAAAACGCCTGCGGGGAGAGGAGAGAGGGTGTCAACGAAGGCAGCCGGTCTCTCGGAGCACCGAGAGAGCAGCTCGGAGCCGTTTTCCCCTCCCCCAGCCCAGAAAGGGGCTCACCAGGGCGATATCTCTGTGGCTGGGATCCAGGACTTTGAGGACCACGTGCATCTCCCGGCTGTTGTTATTCTGCTCGGTGGAGAAATACTCGGCTTCGTCGTCGGCCCCGGCGGTCCCGCAGACGTTCAGCACCCCGTCGTAGATGTTCGTGCGGGTGCCCTGCCCCAGGTGGGCTCGCTGCAGGCAGACGGAGAAGGCACGCGGGTGTCAGACCCCCAAGCAGCGTGCGTGGGGGGAATTTTCAGCCTTGCACATATGAGCCGACTCTCCCCACTTCCCTCTGCGTCGCTGCCGTGGATGGCAGGGAAAAAACTGCCTCCTGCCCGGACCCTGCTGCTTCTGCACAGCTCTTTTCCCCCCTCTCCTTGAAGAGGGAAGGAATAAAGCGCCAAACCAAACGCAATAACTGCTCCACATCTCTTTCCTCTTTGCACCAACGGCGTCAGGGGTGCGGTAGAATCCCCCCCGATCAAGAGAGCAGCTTCCTCCAGCCGATGTATTTACCCACAGCCTCCCATAAACCCCACTGCCCGGGAAGGCAGAGCACGCAACCTGAGTGATCTCGTTCTTGCGGATCTGGTGGAAGCTGAGCTGAGTCAGGTTAAGGATCTGCTTGGCGCTATCCTTCACCTTCCGCGTGATCAGCAGGTCCGAGATCTCTGCAGGAGGAGGGAACGGACGGACGCTAAAGCCCCAGAAACTACCGAATGCCCTTGTTCCTCTAGTCCAAGGGAGGGAAGATCATCCATCCTCATACCTCCTGGTTTAGGTGGACAGCATCTCTTCACCGTGAAGCTTTCGTCACCTGACTTGAGCGTGCAGCCCTTGAGTACATCCAAGAGCTCCCGTAAAGTGGAAAACTCCCGGTCCCACCCTTCCAGCACAAAGGAGTTTCCTTTTTTTTGGATCCGGAATTGCCTGTACTTGAGGGCTCCCTGCACCCCAGGAGCCTGGGAAAGACAGCGGCAGGACAAGCGTCGCAGCTCCCTGTCAACGCAGCTCAGACCAGGCACAGCTCAGCTCGTTCCTAACGAGACGAGCACCTCCCGGAGCTTGGAATTGCATCTTACCTGCTGGTGGCCCCTCTTCACCACGGAGAGAATCATCCTATTGAAGTCAAGGACACTCCAGCGGATGATGTAGAGCCCTTCCTCCTGCTCCTCCCGCCGCAGCTTGGCAAAAACAAACTCCTCCCTGGCAGCAGAAAGGAAAACGGCTTCGGATAAGCCCCGAGGACACGGCACGTCCTCCGCCCTCCGTCGGGAAGAAGCCACTTACTGCATGGGCCCGTGGATGCCGTTCAAGATGCTCATCACGACTCGCGGTGGTGCCACTTCGTGACACAGGTAGTGGCTGGAGTCAGCCGTAAGTCGGAAATAACCATCCACCAGCGAGACCAAGGAGAGCGCGCTCTCGGAAGATGGGAGAACCACCTCCTGGAAAGAGGGAGAGGAACTAGGGTGAGAAACCACCGAGCTAGAGAGCGAGCAGCTCAAAATCCCCCTATCCCTTTGCCAGCTCAAGGAGGAGAGCGTAAAACTCTCACTTTTTTGGCATTAACCCCGGAAAAGATCCTTGTTCTTCCCAGCGCTGCCTCTTCCCAGTCTCTGAAGTGCAACTACGGGCTCCCACGTGCATTGAGACGGGCAGCGGGGCAGCTGGGAGAGAACAAGTCCCACTCACCAGGCACTTGTTGTCCTGCCGGTTGATGCTGACCCTACAGTCCTTGATGACGATGTGCGTGATCTCCCGGAAATCGCAGAAATGGGCCCATTTCGGCTCGCTCCACTCCGCCGGCTGAGTCGGCCCCTTGGGCTCCAGCTCTTTGTTTCTGCTCTTCCTCCCAAAATATCCACGATGGGAGAAGTTCTCGATGCTCTGCAGAGGTGGAGACGCAAAGGCATCCGTTCCAACCCTTCCTACCGCTGGGAAATGGCACCGCTAGCTGGTGATGGCTACTGGCCAAACTGGGATAAGCTAAAAAGGAACCTGAGGTTTCTGGAGAGCCAGAGAAAAAGCCCAGGAGCACAAGCTAAGGAACAGGAGCCAGCATGGGATGGGATTTGGATGGGAATGACTCTTCCCACCCGGCAGCGGAGAGCGCAAGCACCGACATACCTCTACAGGCACGGGCCGCCACTGGATCCCGCTCGTGCCCGTGACGAGGACTTCGTGGGTGACAGGTCGGTCCTTGGGGAGCAGCGCGTGCCCGTGCTCCAGCTGCGAATGTCCCCCGTTGACGTACAGCTGCACCTTCTCGCCCTCGGAGGAGGTCTCCAAGGAGAGCACGGGGAAAAGCTCGCTCCCGAAGCGAGGCGCGAGGTGCTCCAAGGTAGCCAGGTATTTGTACATGATGTCCTGCACCGTCAGCTTGCCGGTGCTGACCGTGTGGCGCTGGAAACGCTGCACAAACTTCTTGAAGACATTTTTCATGCGGAATTTGGTCAGGTAGTTGTTTTGCTGGATCTGGCGGTAAAAGGAGCGCGGGATGCAGTCCTTGAAGCTGCGGGAGGGAAGGAACAACCGGTCAGCCAGACCTCACGGGTGCCTACAGCAAAACACGGAGCCGGAGGAGCCACAACTGAGCTCTCCGTCATGTAAAACAGCCCCAGAGAAACGAGAAGAAACCCTTCAGAGAACCGCAGAGCCCCGAAGTCAAGCAGTCACCTGTATTTTCTGGCCACTTCCTCAAGGGAGACGCCTTTTTTGATGGCGATGTGAGAGAGGTGAAGCACGGCCATGCCCAAGCTTTCGTTTTTGAACCTCTGTATCTCCTGTTCAGTCTGGAAGTCTTTTAAAGACGCGATGTCATTGATGAATTCAAATTTCCCCTATTAAAGAGAAAAAGTTAAATAAAGGGGGGAGAAAAACCCCTGCACTGACTTCCAGAGTGCTTTGTCTTGTCTTTTTTTATTTTAAAGGTGTAATGGGATTCCCCTCAGCTCGGCTCCCAGCCTCCCAGGGAGGTTTTCAAGCAGGACAAAGGCTTTCCGAGGGCAAAACTACAGCTGTGTTTGTCTTGAAACAAAGCCCTCGCCGATGGAAAAACAGATCCTGACAACAGGGCTGAGCCGAATCCGGCTTGATCAAGAAAATCACCCAAGTTTCCACAACTCTGGGTGCGACGGAGCCTCCGGCTCATCAGCCCGGTTCTTTACCTGCTCAAATAGATACTCGAAGGACGATTTGTCAAGCAAGGCTCCTCCTTGCAGCTTCTCGTCGGGGGAGTCGCTCTGTCGGGGCACGTTGCGATAAACCGCCGGTTCCTTGTCGTTCATCCCGTGCCAATTCCGAAAGTAGTACCTGGAGGGGAGGAGGAGAGGAGAATCATAGAATCATTAAGGTTGGA